GTCGGATCAGCTTGAGATCGTTAGGTATACTGACTCCGATTTTGTAGGATGCCTAGCTAGTATGAAATCTATGTCGGGCTATATATACATGCTAGCTGGAGGTGCTGTCTCCTGGAAGAGTGCTAAACAGTCACTTATAGCCTCTTCTACCATGGCGGCAGAGTTCATAGCATGTTATGAGGCATCCAATCATGGAATATGGCTGCGGAATTTTGTCACGGGGCTGCACATAGTGAATGGCATTGAAAGGCCGCTCAAGTTATTTTGTGACAATAAGTCAGCAGTGCTGTATTCCAATAAGAACAGGAGCTCGACGAAGTCGAAGCATATAGACATCAAGTTCCTAGTTGTCAAGGAAAGAGTTCAGAGTGGACAGTTGTCTATAGAGCACATCGGTACAAACTCCATGGTTGCGGATCCGCTTACTAAGGGATTACCACCCAAAGTGTTTCATGAGCACACTGCTCGTATGGGTGTCATGTCATTAGAGGATATTCAGTTTTAGTGAGAGTTTGTAATTTTAGATGCTCTTATGATATAGACATATTTTCAGTTATTTCAGTTTATGGATATTTTGAGGTTATTTTATGCAGAAATAAAGTTTTGGTTTATTCACACTCTGATTTTAGTATGGTTTGATCTCACTAAGGTTTAAGGTGGACCAGTTAGAAATAGGCATGTTAAGATCACATTACATGAAATTTCCATGCTACACATCCACATCATGTTCCATGTCATTTAGTTGTATTGGCATACGTGACCATTGATGGGTCGAGTTACGATAGTTGTAATGAAGGCCGCTTTGATCCTATGCTGGTATGATTGATGGACCGGATTGGTTACAGATACATTTCGGTAATGACAGCAAAGTTGAGCTCATACGGTTATTTTTGTAAAACATAATTATAAGGTTACACATATAGCCCAAGTGAGAGATTATTGGATCATTAATCTAACGTTGGTCTTATATGTGAATAATTATGTGTTGAGAGCTGCCATATAAGGTTAAGCCCAATTAAAAGTGATCTACTAAGGTTTGAGTATTTTGGGCTTTAATGTATCTAATAGGGTGTGGGCCTTTAATATGTAGAGACTTAAGAGTAATTTCTATTTTTATGATGGGCTAAAATAGAAATACCAAAAGATAACATGAAAGCTATCTATATATAGCGGTTATGGTCCTCGAATCGCACGTTATATTCTATTTCTTCTGACATCCCATCCTTAGAGAGAGTACAGAGAGAAAGTTAAAGGGTTTTCTACGAAAACGTGTTGATTTGAAAGATAAACTGCACAATTTTAGAGAGAAATTAGTAAATATGGATTCAAGTACGCTTGCGCTTACAGATTTATTAATTCTTGATGATCTAACATGATTATTCTTGAATTTTAGGTGATGGTTTTCACCAAATTATTGATTTCTAACGTATAAAACAACAAAACAAAATTTCCATTGTATGAAAAGGTGATAAATAACATTTTTCGATCTGTGTTTAATAGGTTTTGTCGACCAAGCAGCCTAGAAAACATCTACCGACACATGATTCTAACAACAACGGTTTTCTCTCGTACAAATCTTTATATCGGTTCATGTATAATTTGCAATCAGATCTGGCCTCATGTTTGCAATGTTCAAGCTTTCGGTGTAGGCCTTGCACCTTCCAATTTACTCTTGGTACATTTTGGTGTGGACTCTGAAATCTATTACTTCCTTTGGTGGCCATGGATTGGCGCGCACATGGAGGTAATATTAGTTGGTTGTTTTCCCCAACAATGTTTATGATGATCAATACTTGACATGATGATTGCCATAACGATTCTTCTCGTATACATTTGATCATATATGACTGATAACCCTTCCTTACCAAAAATAAAAATAATAATAAAATAATAAAATAAAGATCATATATGACTGATAACTCTTCCTTCTCTCTTTTCTTTGTTCAAAGAAACTTTTAAGACAAAATAAAGCTAATTATATCTTATCCCTAATCTTGTTGAAACTTCTACACACACACATACATATATATATAGATAGATGTGTGCGCTATTTGTCTTAAAGAAGACTTGTTGCAATACCAATAGTGCTTAATTTTAACTTCCACACACCAAATGTTGAGTGAAGAGCTAGTGCTTCCTAAGGGAATCAAAAGATCGTTAAGAGGACTCTTAAAAAATTCTGCTTAAGATAAATAATGTTGAACCAGCGTTACATTTAAAGCCACCTAAATAATGGCTTCTAGCTTAGTTTGGAACACAACGCACACAACAGGGTATATATATATATATATATATATATATATATATATATATATATATGCGGGATTTACATGCTAGTTCTTTCGTTCTCTGCTTCCCTTCACTGTCTTCATTTGTTAACCTTTAGACTTTTTGATGAGCTATAACGAATTAAGTGTGTACATATATATACATATATATATTATATCAAGATATATGATCCTATATATGCATACCCTTTGATGCAATGGTGGAGTAATAAAATTATTTCAGAGGACAATGAATTCAGATTTGACCTAGATTAGAAATGTTAAAAATAACAATAAAGTATGAATAGTGGCCAGAAAAACATATAAAAAAAAATGTTAGCAGTATTGTTGAATTGATCAATAATGATGATGCACAAATAATACAACAATAATACTTGAAATGATATACAAAAAAAGTCACATTAGAGACGCACTAGTATAAATTATGGATGTGACGATGATTTTTTAACTGTCTTTAAAAATATGATCACAGTTTATCAAATTCACTGATAATGATAGGTTTTGCAAAATATTATACGATGATACATGTCCGTAGAGCATGGCATAATTATCAAGGTAAATATTAGGCTTCAATTTAGCATTCTATAGTTAAAAGAATTGTTGTAAGGCCATGCAAAATCCCTAACAAAAATTCAACTCTCTATCTCTCTCTCTCATACACACAGACATGCACGCACACACATTTTTGGGTCTCATGAGCTCGTTTAACGACCACATTAATCTGGTAGAACAACTCTTTAATTACAACGGTAAATTAATTAATAAATACGGGTATTCATGAATTAAGGGTTAATCTGCAATCAAATTCAAAACTACAAAATTGGAAAGATTCCAATCTATTATCAATCTAAAAGTTTTCTCAATCTGCTCTAATCCATCTAAAGCTATCATATTTCGCGGATTGGATTTCTCAAATTCTACGGATTTGAGCCTTTAAAGTCAATAAGCATGTTAGATGCCCATTTTTTTAATTTAAAAAGTAAAATAAATTCAATAAAACTCAAATCCAATTTGTTACAACAATCAACTATGACAAACAAGCTTAAGTAAAACTCAAAATTAAGTCTTGATAGTTCATCAAAATTATTTTTAAATTTAAAGTAATTCAACGTTCACAACCCAAATAAACATATGATCATAACATAAAATAGTTCAACAAATTTCAATTTGTAACAACCCAATCAATTATGACAAATTGGTCTCAATAAAATTTAAAACTTAATGAAAATAATTTATATTTATAATTCGGATTAACGGATTTCATGGATTTAGAAATGCTTAATTCACAAACTAATCCAAAACTTTTGGATTAAGATTTTTCCAATTCCTTACCAATTGAGCAAACCCCTCTCAATACAATTTAATTCAACAAATTAGATTAAACTATACGTGTTGATCGGATTTTCGAATTTCGTGAACAGCCGTATTAATAAATTCATTATCATATGGCAGTTCATCATTGGTTTGGAAGGAGCTGCCCAGCTAGGTAATTGTACTTACCTTTTCGTTGCTCTTGATCGTTTATGCAATGTTCCACGACCAAAGCAAAAGATTAAGCTTGATTAGCATGTACTACTAATGGGTGGATAATGGTTATATACTACTTCTAACAGCTTAGAGATCATTTAACATTTTTTCTACAGTTTTGATGATTACATGTTAATTGATGGAGACATTTTTTTGGACAAGGTAATTAGTGTCTCTTTCTGTGATTACTGCTTTTTTTTTTTTCCTTTTCGGAGAGGAGATTACTGCTATTTTTTACGGAAGAAGCTTGCTGCTACTGTTGAGGTACATGATTTAGAGGATGTTTGGTAGAGGGATTCATTTCCTGATTCGAATCATGATTCGTGGTTCCCTACAGTATTTTCTCTCAGAAAAAATACACGTAAATCGAAAATGGTTCGAATCACATGGTTTGAATCCTCCAACCAAACGTTTCCTTAATCTCCCTGTAATCTCCCTGCCTCTAAAAAAAAAGGAAAAGAAAAACAATTTTCTTGCCAAGACATTTATTATTATCGCCCATATTTAAGTTGTTCATGATTAACGGCACTCACATACCGCCATGGCCAATTTGACACGAGAGAATCAGAAGAAAGCCGTTCTCTGTCTTTTCTAAAGGAGAAAATTTCATTTTGGTACCGCGTGTTATATTAAAATTTGAGTTTGAGATTTTCTATTTTTAAAAATTTTATGCCAGTATCTTGACCTTTTAGAACATTTTTAGGACACAAAAAAACAAAATTACTCTTATTGTAAAAATTTATCTGTTGACCAAACATTTTAAAGAAAAAAATGAATTTTAAAAAATTACTATACATGTAGAGCATAATCATTTTTTAAAAATTCATCTCTTCAAAATCTTTTTTTAAATCCTTTTTTCTTCAAAATTCTAGTCAAAAGATGAATTTTTACTTTAATGGCAACTTAATTTTTTTGTGTACCCAAAAATTACTCCGAGATACCAAAAAATATTTTTAAAAGGGCAAGGTACTTGTATAAAATTTTCAAAAATAGATAGTACCAAAATGAAATTTTTTCTTTCTTAGATACTCTTAGATATACAACTAGCAAAAATTGTCACGACCCAAAAAAAGAGGCCGTGACTATTGGGGTTTAACTGAAAATTTAAATTTAATTAATCGGGATAAATAAAAAAAACTAAGAAAATAAATATATCCAAATAAATACTAAAATATATTACTCCAGAATCTTTCTTTGACAAATAATACTAAAACAGTCTATAAATTTATAATTTTTCTTAAAATAATACAACTTTGCGACAGTGCCGACTATTACAGTTTACATACACAAAGTACAGTACAACATAGAATTAAAAATCGTGAAATCAGAAATAATCAAACCATCTCAAATCTCGAGCTTGTAGTCTACCGTCATTAACTTACCAAGCTACAAACTAAACCGCCAACCCTGAAAAGGGAGAAAAGACATTTAAAACATGGGTAAGCCAAACGCCCAGTAAGGGGAAAAATAGGGATAAGGACAATAAAACAGAGAGAGTGAAGGAAGAAAAAAAAAAAAAAAAAAAAAGGAAAAATAGGTTTGAGCTTTTTTTTTGTGAAAATTAGAAATTAGACAATTATACTTTAAAGCCCATTTTAAATAAGAATATTATAAATGGCCCAATTGTTTTCTATTCGAGAGAATTAGGACTTGTTCTTTTGAGTGAAAAACTCAAAAAAATACAATTCGAGTTACAACTTTATTCGAGTTCATGTTCTTTTAAGTTTAAACTTGAGTTTAAACTCGAATTCAAACTCGAGTTTAGGACTAAAACTCGAGTTTAAGTTTCTCCTTCAACTCGAGAAATTTGAACTCAAATTAATAAACAGTATTTTTTCTATTCTTACAAATGCTATAACTTTTTTGTTTTAATTCTGATTGAGATGATTTTTTTTTTCTATGCACTGAGAACGAAAAGACGAATAAAACTCGACCCATATACCCTATTAAAATTTTTCATTAGCATTGAGTTTTTATTAAAATACTATCTAAATACAAATTCAAGTTTTGACTCACTCAAACACAAACTCAAAAAGATTTTTATCTCAAACCATAACTTAAATGTACACAACCAAACACAAACTCAAGTTACAAGTTCAACTCAAGTTATAAGTTCAACTCAAGTTATAACTCAAATTCAACTCAAGAATTATACTCAAATTAAACTCCAAAAGAACAAGCCATTAATTACCGACACGTAAAATAATCGAGCGACTAAAATAAATGGAAAAAATTCTTAAAGAAATAATCATAACTAAAGTAAATCACTAATTTTTAAATTAATTAACACTAACAATTGAATAAATTAATTAATCACAATTAATTTAACCAGTTGTTACAACCTACCTCCTTAAAAAAATCTCATTCTCGGAATTAAAATAAAGTAAGTGGTAGGGGTTAAAGCTCAAAACGAAGATGAAATAAATTTCAGTAACAATCTTGATACAAAAGTCAAACTAAAAATGAAGTAGTCGAATGTCAAAAAGTATGCTAGACACAACTCTGAACTCGAAAAAACTTTTTATAATATGAGTACATTCAGGAAAAAAAAAAAAAAATCGATCCCCTCATGATTCAGGAATGGAATTAGTACAAATTGAAAACAAATCGCATCTGAAAACAGAAATTGACAACTGTACAAGAGCAACATCTAAGAGTCAACATTTTACGAGGGAGTGACATGACACGTTTTGAATTAGCAAGGGAGGCACCGACACTGACACTAGAAACGGGAAGTAATTTCGATCTTAGAATGACATTGGATGGTGACAGGAAGTCAACATGGATCGAAACACAATTAACAAATAGAAGGGCTGACTCTTGGTCAGAATAGAATAAAAATAGAATTTGAAGGCCTCGTTCACTTCGCGGATTCGAATTTTTAATTCGAGTTGAGATGTGACATTTTTTGAGAGCTTTTCACTGTAGCAGAAAAAGTTAAATGTGACATTTTCTGAGAATTTTTTACTGTAGAAACCTAAAATTGAAAACTCGAATCGGTGAAATGAACGAGGCTGAAGTTTGGATCCTAAAACCTAGGGTTAGGACCTACTACGAGAAGATGAAAAGTGAAAACAACAAGAAAGCGGAATAGACATCCGTCTAACGGTGCGTTATGTAGCAGCATCAAATGAGCGAATATCACTAGCACCAAGAGAATCATGAACCTAACATCCTAGAATAAATCACCATCTAGAAAGAAAAAAAGAAAACAGAGAGAGAGATGAATTTGCGAAGCAGAAAAAGTGGCTAGAACCTAAGACTAACCGTTTGTTAGAAGCTTATCAAGATTACAAGTCAAAACTTATTTCTTAATTAAAATGAGTGCGATAAAACAAGGAGCGAGAATACATTACCGATCAAAAACTGCTATTATCCAAATTGTCTAAAATCCAAATTGTCGCTCTTCACCAATATAAATCTTTTAGTCAAGCACGTCACGATAGGAAAATAACTGATATCGAGAATTAAACCATGTGGAAATCAAACAATCGTTTTAAAATAGATAACTTCATGTAAATTTCAAGTCAAACCTTGACTTTGGATTTCAAATCGACAAAACTCAATAGTATAAGCATAGTCAAATCAAATAAACATCAACTCGAACAAAAGCTTCACGAGATTTTCAAAATCAAACTTTAACTTTGAATTTCAAATCGGTAAATATTAATAACAGAATATGGACTCATCCAATGGAGTCCAGAAAAAGTGAAACTGACACTAACGACAAATTCTCAGTGTAACTGCACCGTGTATTAATTTATACTGTACGACACGTCTCGACACTAAAACTGTTAAAGTATAAACAAAACTCAGTAGAAAACTCACACATGCTCAGTTATCATGGAATCTGAAGCCGCGCTCTAATACCAAAACCTGTGACGACCCAAAAAAAAGGACCTTGATTATTGAAGTTTAATGAAAAATTTAAAAACTAAGAAAATAAATACTAAAAAATATTACTCCAGAGTCTTTCTTTTACAAATAATACTAAAACAGTCCATAAATTTATAACTTTTCTCAAAATAATACAATTTTGAGACAGTGTCAACTATCACAATTTACATACACAAAGTACAGTACAACTTAGAATTAAAAACCGTGAAATCAAAAATAATCAAACCATCTCAAATCTCAAGCTTGTAGTTTACTGTCATTAACTTACCAAGCTGCAAACCAAACCACTAATCCTAGAAGGGGAAAAACATTTAAAGCATGGGTGAGCCAAATGCCCAGTAGAGAGAAAATAAGGATAACGACAATAAAACAAGGAAAGTAAAATAAACTTGGAGACTCAAAACACAATCGAAAATTAAATACATAACTCAATGCAGGAAATGGTAATATGTTAAAAATACCCAATCACAACAGAGTCAAGCGGTTAATCAAGTATTGAAAACTCTTTCAAAATATTATATCATTTTTAAATCTATTTTAAAAGTTATATAATATGGTATCTGAATAGTCTACAAAATACAAAATATTTTGTAATTCTATTAGACGCTTGGGTATTCAAATAATATCGTAAATAAGTGAAAGATAAAAATCATATGTCGGTAGTTTAAATACTCTTTTCAAAGTACCATAGTTTAGTGCAAAGCCTCACCACCCACGCTGCGGAGTGGCCCGTGTGGGTTTCGGGACCTGCCCCTAAAGATACGATCTCCATATCCCGATCTCTGTGACCATCATGCTAAAACCAACTATCTAAAATGCTCATAATATAGCATTTGAAAATGCATTCATCTCATGCTCGACTTAACTCAATCCAAGACTAAATTCATTTTTTCGTAAAATTCTCTTCCTAAAATCATGACTCGCGAATTCAGGTTTTTTGAAAGGTTTTTCATATATATAATCTCTATTACATTCATAAATGAAGATCCTTTTGAATTCTCAAAGTCGAAATAAAACCGAGTTTTAAACCGATAAGTGAGCATCCATGAAATAAGTTTGAAAAAAGAAGAGAAATGCAATCTCATGCTTAAGCAACATCAAATCACAAAACATGAACATGCTAAGTTCAATAATCTGTAAAGTGTTCATGAATGTACAACGAGCAATGTAAAAATGTCATATTCCAATAAAACCAATTAAGTCTCCAAATGGTATCATTGTATATCAAGTGTTAATTTATCATCTTTTAACATGTTTGAAAAAGAAGAGAAATGCAATCTCATGCTTAAGCAACATCAAATCACAAGACATGAACGTGCTAAGTTCAATAATCTGTAAAGTGTTCATGAATGTACAACGAGCAACGTAAAAATGTCATATTCCAATAAAACCTATAAAGTCCCCAAATGGTATCATTGTATATCAAGTGTTAATTTATCATCTTTTAACATTCTTCATCGTATCCCATTAAGAACCTCATACTTAGTGTTAAAATAACCTCAAAGGCTCCACACCATTAATTGTTCAGCTATACATCAATTCCTTACTCAAATCCATATTTTTCATGAAAACAGTAAATTGGCATATTCGTCAACTTAGACGGAAAAATTCATAGGATATTATCTAAGTCTCTAAAAATTACAAAATCAACTTCAAAAGAAATTAGACACATAGATCTTTCCAATGAGCTATCATATTCCTTGATCCGAGCTCTCTAAGTGACTCAAAAACAGTTTCTAAGAAATCAAAATTCTAGTTTTTCCTGATTTGACAGTTTTTAGAAAGTTTCTACAATAAACTTCCAATGCACACAGCTCGGGCTACAAACTCCAAATTAGTTGATTCCAACTCCCACACGTCACTAATAACTTGTTCTAAGTGGTAGATGAAGATGGTTTAGGTGCAGCAACTATAAATCATAAAGTGAGCTTCTCGGTTCTTTTTTTATCAATTCCTAGAAAAGACAATTTTAGCGACGGTTACGGAAATAAACATAAAATATTCTACATAGCCTCAAAAATTAAAAAATTAGTGCCTTATGGAAGAAGACATCTAGAGCTTTCCAAAGAGCTATCATAAACTTGGTTTCAGGTCTATTAATGCCTCCAAAAAACACGTTACACTAGATCATGAATTGCTGATTTTTCTGCAGAATTGCAACAACTACATCCAACTTCAAATTTTCATATGTTAGGCTACGGTTATCCGTTTAAGGTGATTCTTGCCTCTAATCGAAGCTTATAACGTCTTTTTTATGACCTTACAGTCAGATAGATCAAAACCTAAGCAAGGAGATACAGTTTCATTCTTTTCCTTAGGCAGCTCTTACATGTTTCAATAAACCATCATTCTTCACGCTAACTAAAAAGAGAAATCCCTACTAATGACTCCAACATGGCTGGGACAAATCTTAAGTCGTCCAAACTAAACTCTTAAGGTTCATAAATAGGATGCAAAGGCTAGAGAAGCTTGTTAAATCAAAACATGTTGTTATAACCCAAACCTAACTATGCACAAACCTCAAAAGGGAAAGTATTCTTTAGTCACTCACAACTCCATGTTGAACAACAATTACTTTACTGATTATGAAATTAGAACATTAAACACATGAGATTCAAGCTAAAGAATTTCTGAAAATGAACATCATCAAACTTTAACCATAGAACTAGTTGCTAAGCAATTACACTAGCAAGAACACATCATCAAAGGGATTTTTAACACATTTTGCAAATCTGAAACATTGAAATAAAATACAAATTTTCGGGGAAATCTGGATTTAATAGCATGCAAGACAAAATTCATACCCCAACTTGAATATAATAGTAGAAATCATCAAATCTCAAGAAACATAACTAGGAAGATAAAGGATTTATCAAACAATTGCAAAACAAGAGATTCTTGACAAATATCGAAATCATTCATTATACAAGACGAATGGAAAGTTAAGAATTTTAAAAAGATTGAAAAATCAAACAAACCCTACCTCTTGCTCTTGAATTCCACATGCAATTCGCCCAATCCAAAAGCTTAATCTTCTTGGAATCTCAAGAAAATCCGTCTCCAATCTTCAAATTGACTTTATAAATAAACTGTCCATAAAAAATGGAGCAAACGGCCTCCATTTAGAAGCTTGGACTGCATCACCCATGGAGGAGAGAGAGAGAACCGAGAGATAGAGCGAGTGAGAGAGAACGAGATAGAGAAAGAGGGAGAGAGTGGGAGGGAGAGAGGGAGATAACGTGAAAAAGAGAGTGAAGGGTGAAAAGAAAGAAAATGAAAATGAAAAATAGGCCTGGGCTTTTTTTTGTAAAAATTAGAAATTAGACAATTATATTTTTTTTTTTTAAATTTAGAAATTAGACAATTAAACTTTAAAGCCCAACTTAAAAAAAACAATAAAATGGTATAATTGTTTTGTGTTCCAGAAAATTTACTAGCACGTAAACCGGATCGAGAGACTGAAACATCAATTTAAAAATACTTATTTTAAATTGAAAAATTCTTAAAGAAATAATCATAACTGAAAATAAATCGTTAATTTCTAAATTAATTAACACTAACAATTGAATTAAATCAATTTATCTCAATTAATTTAACTGACTATTACAAAGAGACATGTGTGGTTGCAATAAAACATGAATTTGACTATCATATTTACTGTTTATTAGAAAATAATTCTAATTAAAATCTGACCGACATAGTATAAACATCATTTAATTTGATCACTTTTTATTTACTCTAATTAAGAGAAATTAATTGATAACAATTAAGTAAAAAGTATAAAAATAAAAGGTATAAATAGAAATAAAATTAAAACAAATTTTTCTTAAACTCTAAGTAAGATGAAAGAGTGGACAATAAATAAGCAAAAAAAAAAAACAAAACAAAAGGTGAAGAGCATAAGTAGAGAGAATGATTAAACTGCTTTTTCTTAAGCTCTACGTAAGAAAAAAGTAGATAATAAGTAAGTTAAAAATACAGAAAGTAAAGGGAATAAATGAAAATAAAAATTAAATTGTTTTTTTCTTAAATTGTAAGAGAAAATAGTAGATAATAAGTAAGTAAAAAGTATAAAAGATAAATGATATAAATGTACAAAAGATGAAGGATATAAATAGAAACACAAATTAAATTATTTTTCTTTAAACACTAAATAAGAAAAAAAAGTAGATAATACGTAAGTAAAAAATACAAAAAGTGAAAAACATACATGAAAATAATAATTAACTGTTTTTTTTTAAGCTCGAAATAAGAAAAAATAAATAAATAATAAGTAAGTAAAAAGTAAAAAAATAAATAATGTAAAAGGACAAAAATTGATTGATAGCTACATAAGAGACTAACAATATAAAAAAGACAAACAGGCAAGAAAGTAAAAATTGAAAAAGAAAAAGTCAAAAAATAGAAAAAAAAAAATTTCGAAGACACCTACCTGTTTTAAGAGGCTTTTGTTATATAATAGATGTCTTTTCTTTCTCTATTTTCAAATCAAATGCAGCACAATTTTAAAAGAAGAATTGGAGCGCGCATAAAATTACGAAACAAATTAAGAGGACATATTTTTTTAAGAGAAAAAAATTAGAAATAGTACTTAAGATGGTCAAAAATATTATTCATACCACTTCATTCTAAAATAAATAATTATCATTCAACTAATAAAGAGAAAAAAATAGTAAAATGACACTCAATTATTTAAAATAACATAAATAATAGACGTGCATAAAATCATGACAACCCATGTAATTTTCTCTTTTTTGAATTCTTCATTTTCTTTTTAGGATGGCTAAGTCTTAATACATGTTGCAGTTGGATGGACCCTTCACTACGGTATACAGAAAATTAAAAAAGAGAAAATTAATGAACTTATCCTTAAAGTATATGGGTTTGAAGTTTTATCTCTTACTCTTGATTTATACTCTTTTGACTGAAATAATTATTTGACTATAAAGGATAATATCCAGATCCGCACACTCTAAGAAATGGGAATGAGAATGGGGGAATGGTAATGAGAATGGGAATGAGAATGGTAATGGGAATGTAATGGAAAAGAAAGTTGATTCATTTGTTTGGTTGTAATTTTAAGAATTCTCTGAAATGGAATATGAATATTTTCATGTTGACAAACTTACCCTTATGTTATATATAACACTAATATTTTATCTATCAATATTATATAAAAAATGTAATATAGTATAATAAAATTTTTATTA